CATCAGTACCTTCTCCGTCACCCGGGTGTATTTCAACCTGAACGATCCTGACTTCTATGCTTCCATCTCCAGTCATCTCAGGCCTTTTCGAGCCAGCATCCAGTGCACTTTCTCGACACCTGACATTTCGCACCATATGACCGGAATTGGTGGACTGTTTTCACCAATAAGCGACATTTATCTTAGCGCAAGCTGCTAGCCATCAGGACTGAACTGGGACGCACCCTGGAAATGTGTGTCATGAAACCCCCCAACAGCCCACGATCTTTTTCGAATGTAATCCGGAGGAAAACGGGCATGGACTGGTGTCCTTGTGGTGGTTGTCAGTGACTCGACACCAAAACTATCCCAGTGCCCCATACACACTATTTGGGCGCTGCCCTGAAATGCGCCACGGTCTTCAGCAAACCTGACATATGACCATTGTCAAATACATGGACTTCCGAGTACAGCCGTCATCACATCGTTTGGTCCGTTTGGATTTCTCCACCTGCCTTTAAGAATATGGAACGTTACAGAGGCCTTCCAGCGTTTCATCCAAGACGCCTTGCGCTGTTTAGGTTTGGCTGGGCCTTCCTCGACGATATCCTCGGTGAGTCTCTTGCCTTTGGAAACTATTGAATCTGCATACTCTGTAAAAGTCAAACTTCTGGAGTGAGTGATTCCGAGGTCTTTTACAGTGTTTTATATCTAAATTTCACTACTTGGAAGCGACCCCCTAAAGATGTTCTAAGTCAGGACAGTAGAGGGTCTCGGAAACCATATGATTGCAACTTAGTGGCCAGGCTTTTGTGAGGCACCTTATCGAATGCTTGCTTGAAGCCTGAGAGGAGGGTAGTTACAAATAGGCCCTGGTCACGCTCGCTTGTAACGTCGTCTAGATAGCCGAGATAGCTGGTAACGCATAACCGGCCTTTCAAGAATCCATTTTGTGTCATTGAGAGTAATTGGTTTGTCGCCATGTAGTCGACAACATTCACAATCACCTAATCCATGATCTGCATACTACTGACGTGATGTTTATAGGTCAGTAGTTTATTATATGAGATATTGGTCCGCACTTGTGCTTGGGACACATGTATTATAGCTTCCAGTTCTCAGGATAATTGCCACTGGAGAAGGACTTATTAAAGAGCTTCAAGAGAATCAGCGGTATATCTTCACCACCTCTTTTTATCAAGGTGGTTGGAATTTCATCTGATCCAGCACTGTATGGGGTTCGAAGCGATGCTATAGCTAGAGAAATGTTTTGTTTAGCGAAAAGCACAGTGCTTATCGGGTGAGTTGATGTTGACGGTGCAACAATGACTTTTATTTCGTCCTCTTGTGTAAAGCAGCCAGCAAACTGGTAACTGAACAGCTCGCTGATTTGTAGTGGGTCGTCGTAGAGGATGTCGTTGTCTATGAACAAACCAGGGGTACTATTCCTGGAGCTGCTTATCCGGGTTTCCATCAGTCTCACTAGTGCTTCTGTATTATTAGTTTTACTACATGAAATGCGTTGATGTTTAACGGCTTTTAGTACCCTTTCTATTTTGAGTGTGGTACGTGTCGTTGAGTGTGACAAGCGATGGAAAGTCACTCGGCTTATAGCACCCTCTAGCATGGTTACGTACGCCCTCGCGTACTTTCATAGGTAGATCGTCAACCCTGTTTTTCTTAATTTCTCTTTGGAGCGGTAGGGCAATATAGTCTTAGCTGTGCCTATATATTCATAGATTGGATCGCGAAGTCCTTTGGCCGAACTGTTGGTAAAGTAGGGGCTCCAATCTAGGCAGCGCAGAAACGATTGTAGTTCGTCCCATTTGGCATACTTGTAATTTCTAGTTAGTACTGTTCCTGACTTTTGGGTTAATTTTGTGCTGGATATGTTGAAGTATGCATATACTATATTGTGGTCGATACCTGGAGAGTGTGTACCTACTTGGAGTTTTGTGGGTGTGGTTCCTTTCGTGAAGACTAGGTCCAGGACACTATTGTGCCTGACAGGGTGTTCCACATGTTGCCAACCCTCTGTTTCAAAAATGCTTGTAAACTTATCAAAGCGCTTTAGATAGCTAATTGGTTGCCGCGTTATATCATCTGAAAGTCACCACATATAATTTTCGTTGCATGGTGGCGTTGTCACACGAACGAACACTTTTGTAAGCTTCTTGTAGTTTTCGACTGAGGGGAAAGGGGGTTGGTAAATATATCTTATTAGGAGGAATGTGGAGCGAGTGAGTTTGGCGATAGCCCATACTGAGCCGTCAACCTCGTTTAGCTCAGAGGGTGGGCACCGCGTAGCAGTGACGTCGGGCTTTATGTAAATAATACACCCTCCTCCCCTACCATACAGCCTGTTCCCCCATATCTTCATGCGGATACCGCCGACCAACACAAACAAGACGCAAAAGATGGCGGATGTCAACGGACGGGTGGGCGCACGCCAGAACAAAATGGGAGAACCAAAGTCACCCTTAGAGATTGTCCAACCTTTATTCAAAAGTTTTTAATGTTTGTCCAAATCCACCAACACCGCGTATATGACCCTAAGAAATCGATGTGGCTTCAAAGTGAGGGGAGACAGGGGGTCGTTCCAGATGAACTTTGCCCAGAAGCTCGAGGCGAACCCTAAAAACCTATGTCGATTTATGGCAGGCAGAAAATCCACCGGCAACGGGGCTTTCGTCCTTAAAGGCCCAGACTGAGAGAACCTCTCCGGATTACAGATTGCCGAAGCCTTTAGCGCCACCTTTGATATACAGTTGAACACGTCTCCATCGAATCAAAATTGCCAACTGCCTGGCCGATATTCAACACCACCGAATGCAGTAGAGTCACCTGGAATAAAGGTGACTCCTGTTATGGTCCTCGGGAAGTTATCAAGGCTCCTCGTGGGGGAATCACTGGGATGCGATGACATCCGGCCGGCTGTGTTGAAACCATGACGGGGTGCCTTGTGAGGTCCGCTGCGTAATCTGTTTCAGCGCTCCTTGGACAATCGCATGCTTCCACAAGAGTGGAAAAGTGCTGTTCCGTCCCTCATCTTCAAAGGAGGAGACAGGCAGAAACCAAAATGCTACCGACCCATAGCCCTCCTACCAGTGGTGTCAAAAGTAATGGAGAACCTGGTGGACGGCCATCTCAGAGAGTATTTGGAAAGGGGGGGAGTATTATGTGACGCTCAACATGGTTTCAGGAAGGGTAGGTCCCGTGCCTCAAACATTCTGGCTGCAGGTGATAAGTGGGCGGCATGCTGGGGCTTCCAAACTCCTGTTATTTTCCTGGATTTCGCTGAGGCCGTTGACACAGTCCCGCATACCATTCTTATTCACAAAATAGCAAGGTTGGGTATCAAGGAATAAGCGCCCTCCTGGTTACAGGACTATCTAGATGGCAGACAATTCTGCACAAGATCCAACGGAGTTTGCTTGACTTGGAGGACATCATCATCTGGTGTATCACAAGGAGCGATTCTGGGTTCGCTGCTACTCCTTCCTTTTGTGAACGACCTCTCACTGAATCTCAGCTCCCCAACTCTACTCCACGCTGATAATGTTAAGCTATGGAGGACTGTGACGTCGGAAAAAGAATCAAGGGCACTACGAAGTGACCTCAGATTGCTTGCAGATTGGGGTGGGTATTAGTGGACCTGCATTTAACCTAGATAAGTGCCAAGCCATGTTTCTCTGCACCTCAGACTCCCAGAAGGCACCCTATTCTCTCTGTGCAACACAACTTTCCCACACTACCACGGATAAAGACCTGAGACTAATACTGACTGACGAACTAGACACTGGCTCCAATCATCCAGGAGACGCCTCCAGCGCCTACGCAGTACTGCACTTCATAAGCAGACGACTAGGTGGCCTGACACCGCAGCCCTTTTTGAAGGTGTACAAGACTTACATACAACCTCACTTAGAGGCCCACAACGTCACTGCACCACCCCATCTGAAAAGAGACATGAATTTCCTAGAGAACGTCCGAAGGCGAGCTACAAAGGGTGTCTTGGGAATGAAGCGAAGGCCTTTTGAGGACAGGCTGAAAGATCTACGACTCTATTCCCTAAGCCACCGGAGATTACATGGTGACTCGATAACGGCTTACAAAATACTAAGTAACCGAAGTCATCTAAACAGTGGAATCCTACCAAACGGCCACTGTGACGATCCTCGTAGTAGCCCAAGGAGGAATGCCCATCAAAGGGCGGAAACCCGTGTGCGGTCACACTTCCTCTGTCTTCGAGTTTGCGGCCACTGGAACGCATTGCCTGCCGAGATTGCTACTGGTCCGTCTGTTGACAGCTTCAAGAAGAGGTTGGACAGTTACGCAGCGATACATGGTTTGCGCTCATCCAGCTGGGATATGGGCTAAGCTGACATGACCTACTAACTCACCACTGCCAACCCGTTATCAAATACTTTGTAATACCACTATCACTGGGATCCTGGCTCAATCTTGTACTTCCTTATAGACGTCCCCTCCAGTTACCGTTCCTACCAATAGAGTTGCTATCTCTATTCCCGTCCGTATATAGTGTTATTTACTCCTCTTCCTGCTGACTTTACGTTTCCTTTTTCCTGATCGTCTTTTCCCTTTCTTTTTCTATTTGTTTTCCTTTGGACTTTCTGTCCCTTGATCTGTCTGGACGTATTTTCCATCTCCTTTTAACAGCCAGTTCGACCAATTGTCTGCTGGTGCAGCAATTGGGGAATCCATCTGCACCGCAGTTCTTAGAAGAAAAACAAAGAAACAACAGCACTCCCTGAAAATTTAACCAACACCCAACCGCCCGTCGGGCTAACCAGAGCTACAACAGTTGAGTGGGTAGACCTACTGCATCGGAATCCACCAAAGACTTGGGACCGTTACGCAAGACCTAGGATCGAGAGCGAAGAAACTGACTGGTTTTCACTAGCTCGTAAAAGATACTGGACATTGGATCAGACCAAGACAGCAGAAGAAATTTCCCTACCAACTACAGCAGTAAAACCAAACAGTACGAAACAAACCCCAAAAACTGTATATGAGGGCTCAAAAGGTATCTGTTTCATGTATCAGTGCAATCGATGTTGGATGTAAGATGATCTCTAGTTTAAGGTGGCTTTCTGCTGCGGAAAATTCAAATGTCTACGGATTGTTCTCTGAAAAATGCGAAAGCGGATTACTTGAAGCGTTACTCGAGCCAGCGGGTAGTAAGAAGAGACGAAAGGCCGTTAACGATGTCACAGTTAAATATATATCGTGAGTTAATGCACACAGTCCTAACTTTTGAATTTGAGTTCTATTTCTTCATGTTCCAAATAGTTGTCTATGCGAATATCTAGTTTCTCCTTGAATCTATTCACTGACTTGAAGTTTCAATGAAAGTGCCATTTGACTGGAAAGTTTGGCCCAAGTTTTATCCAACATGAGCTAGTATTGCCCTGCTAAAATGTTCGAAACGGAAATGGTTGTTGACGGAACAGAAGAAGCTTTCGCTTAACTGACTTCCGCTTCCAAAATCCGTGGTTCACTAATTATTGTAATTGTTAACCTGTGTACAAGTAAAGAAAGAGGGAAAAGTGGCGGTTAAAATGTGAAAATTCAATTAGTTCCGGTCAGATCCCATCCGCGTCCAGTCGGCGTTTAAAGGATTCAGACGAAGTAGCCTGCAGAATTCGGCTTACCATATTTATCTTGGGACCGATAGTTATCTGAAGCCTAACTGAAGCTAGTGAACAGCAGATTCGAGAAAACCGGGTAGGTTTCGGACAGCTGCAGCTGTCGTCCGTGGACGATGGTGCGTCGTTCATATTTCTACCGACAGGATCTGGAACATAAGCATACCTACCGGTGGCTGACATCCGATTCTAGGAAAAGTTGGATTAGGCTGGGAAATAATTTAGGGTGGCCAGACTAAGATGTGACACCAGTTGATAAAGCCCCTGACTTTATGAGCCAGGTGTAGATCACCTGGTTGAGTTCCCCGAGACAATAAGAATCGGTGGTTAACGACTCTTTGTGAAATGGTTAAAAATCTGTCACAGTGGCGCAGATGTATTCACTCTGATGTCTTCTTAAGTTCGAATGTTTCGTCTAATCTTCATTGTTAAATTCCCTCTCCCGTCATATAGCTTTATCTACTTTGATATCAATCTTTGCTATCCACTTATTTTTGAATGCCACTATGAGATCTGATGAGTTGAATCTATGTACTTGTATGCGAAGTTCTACGTTGATTTTGTCTGTCTGTCGGAACCCTATCATTGCGTTACAATAGCAGTTACTCCTAATTTCATCATTCTCTAGCTGGTTTTCTTGGCATAACAGAACCTTAATGAGATAGCAATCTTGGCGATTTATTTCGCTGGGGTCGCTAAAAGAAACAAGGTGAATGCTACCGAGGTTTATTCCAACCAGGGTTAGGTCATAAATCAAGTTTATCCTGGAATTGTTTGTCAAGTATGCGCCTCCGAGTAAGGTAACTGTGTGAAGCAACATCATGCTTTCCTGACTTATCGGAAATCTTATCGTCATATCAGTCATTTATTCTTTTACATAGTTATTACAGGTTCACGATACTTCATTGAGTCAATGAAATGCGGTATAACTACTTTAAAACGGTGGAATATGAATGAGTACCAGTAAAATTAGTATGCAGTTTAAGTCCTAAGTTACACTTTTGCCATGACCCCAAAAATCTTTTTTAAGGTGAACCATGCCATTTTTAGGTGAAGGTAAGTTCTCTCTTTCTCTGAATATGCTACCTCCATCTGTTTCTATTCCAGTGTAATATAGTTAAATTTGCATATAACTACCGCATGCATAACTCAGTAGTTAATGCTCTTCAGTACAGAGTTGGAATCGTTTTCTTCTCTTTAAATACCATTTGTCTTTCAGAGGGGACCTTCCGGAAACGCTTGATGCTTTCTATAAATCAGATCCTGACAGTTTCGAATTCCCGGCTAATCACCCTTCTATGGTTGAGCCGTTACCAACAGTTGTTCGACAAACAACCTTGCTGAAAAATGAAAAATCAAAGCAAGCAGATAAATCCAAGAAGGAAGCCGAATTGGAAGCTAGATACGATGTATGGAATAAAGGGTAAGCATTAATTACTGATAATTTAATTTTCCCCTAAAAATACTTTCTATATAGCATCAAAACTTTAGAGGAAACATATAATAAACTGAAAGAACAAGAATATGAAAGTTCAAAACCTTTGGCACGATATGCTGATGATAAAGATCTGACTGAACATCTCAAATCACAAATACACACTGAAGATCCCATGGCTCAGTATTTCGCCCAGAAATCATTAAAAAAAAAGAAGAAAAAGAAGGACAGCAAGAAAAGCACAAGAGTAAGTTGTGATAACATGACTGTTATTGCAGAAATACCGATAAACCTCGGTAAGTGGATCGGGGATCAAAACCGTGACTCATTGGTCGAAAGTCATCTCTCTAAACCAATGAGCCGCATCACCATAGTCACTATCACTAACCTTCACTCAGTACATGCGGCTTATGGCAGAGTAAACAAATATGAAATGGACTGCTGAGTAGCATTATCTTTTGGATTGTGGTTACTTGTGGTGGTGGTCTAAACTAGTTTTCAAAATTTTGGTGATTTTCATATAGTTTTCAGCATAAAATGGGAAATATTCAAAACTAGGGGGCATAAGAAAGCTGTTTCATCTAAATCTGGAACTTTTCACTAGTGCGAATCCACTATACACTATGAGATCTAACTTAGCATCTTGAGGTTTTGTGATAAGCAAGCTAGGGTTCGCTGTATTGGTATAGAATTCATCGACCAACACTTTGAACTTCATTTGCGAGTGAACACTGCTACAGTGTATCTAACTGATTTTCAGTGGTTGCTTTGCTAAAATCAGTTCATGATTGGAACGATATTCAAAGCAGTAAGTCCCTTCCCCGGCTAACAAGTCAGTCCATTGTTAATGATTAAACAAATTTGTGTGATATCCTTTTAACTTTGATATCTCATTTTGAATGCTTCATCCCTTTGTTGTCAATAGCAACTTTATTCTCATTGTGAACTAAAAATCTGTTTCGTATCAACATTCTATGATTCAATCTTTCATAGTGTTTTGTCGAGGGAATTTGTGTTCTCTTCTTTTCAAAACGTTTCGTTTTTATCTTAACCGATAAATATAATTTTTTTATTTTAACTTTTGAGAGGTGTTAATTTGTACTGTGGTGAAATGTTCAAAGTACAGTCAGGTATCATAAAAACATGATTTTGTCGAAAAGAATTTCCATCATTTTGCTGACTACTACTAAAGGAGGTTATTGAAACATCACTAAAACACTGATTCTTTACTATCTCTTTATGCTAACTGTATTGATACATTTACACTACTCTTTTCTACAACTTGGTAAATATTGTGGTATTTATTTAGATCCGTAATGTAGCTTTTTAACTTGATTTTCACCGTCGTTGGCAAAATGCACTTGGAAGTATAATTCGCCTTATAGTGTTCAGACTTCATGTATTGTCCATTGACCCAGTTTCGATACAAGTACGCGATTCATTTCTACCATTTACCAGCTTATTTAAGTTATTGCACTGATGGGACGTCAGAATTTCTATCGGAGGTTGAGTATCGTCATCATCAATACCAACATAGGACCAGGCATTACTGCGTAACGGTCCGAGTTGCCACAACTCAGTACATTACATGAGGTAGAAAGGTAGTGAGGTGAAGGATTAAGATAAGAGGATGCGGTCAAAAGAAATATAAAGTACGCGAAGAAAGGAAGAATGACAAAATGGTGAGATTCGTTAAGATGAAGATAATGTGTGTATGCATCTGCGCCACTCACGTCGGTTCGAAGCCATATCCCCTAGAGTCTCCAACCACTGGTTCCTCTTGTCCCGCCGACCCCAACCACCTAATCTGCGTCGCCCCACATGGCTCAGACCAACAGTCAGAGACTTCATACATTGGTGCCATGTTTTAGTCTGCCACCTCAGGCATATTTCCAGCCTGGGCCTACTTCGGCCAACATTGTGTGACGAGGCAATCGGTGACTAGGCATACGTAGTACGTGTCCCAACCATCTCAATCGATGCAGGTTCATAACCTCGTCAACTAATATACCTCTACTCCCTCAAACTCTATAGCTGACTTCTGCATTACTCATGTGGTGACATCACGGAATACGTCCTATACTACGAAGGCATCGGTGGTCAAACACTTGAAGCCTTCTCACGTCTTCCACCTTCAATGGCCATGTTTCACAGCCATACAGTAGAACAGACCGGACTGCTGTGCAGGTGCATTACACGCGACCCTTAATAGACAGACGGATATGGCAGCAGCGCTATAGGTGGCGTAAATTGGCAGAAGCCAATCGAGCCTTCTATATCCGTGCAGAGATTTCATCGACAACTGACCCACCAGGGCTGATTCTACTCCCGAGGTAAGTGAATTGGTCGATACAACCACTTCACTTTCTTTTGTTAGCCGTGGTACCGCTGAAGATCAGTCCTGGAGTAAAAATTTGCATTTGGGTGGTGAGAATTGCATCCCAAACATTCTCAAATTCCCACTCAAAGTGTTCAGAAGACTCTGCATCTTGTCAGCGTCTTCACCTAACAGGACTATGTCATCTGCATATTCTAGATCTAAAGAAAATTCACCTGTGATCCGGTCAACGTCTGTGTAATTAGGTGACGAGAGGGAAACCTCCATAAGAATATCTATGATAAAATTAAATAAGAATGGGGATAGTGGGCATCCTTGACGGACACCACTTGATGAGTATAGCTCCCTGGACAACTCACCATAGGCTCTAACATGCCCACAAGTGTTCGAGTAGAGAGCTTTCAATAAGGTGATGTACTTACTAGGCACGCCTTTCAGTGACAGACACTGCCATAAGACTTCTCGATCAACGGAGTCAAATGCCGCCTTCAGGTCGAGAAATACAGCTATTGTCGGGCGTCTGTAAGCATGCCTATGTTCCAGGACCTGGCGCAGTGTGAATATTTGGTCGATACATCCACGGCCAGGTCTAAAGCCTGCCTGGTTTTCTCGGGCTTGCTGTTCCCGAGCTCCACTCAGGCGTCGGAGAATTATAGAACTTAGGATCTTAGACACTATGTTCGTCAGGCTGATTCCTCTGTGGTTATCACAAGAGGACTTCTCGCCTTTCTTGAAGACTGGGATGATCAGTGACTTAGACCAGTCAGGGGGGCGTATTTGATTCCCATATACTGGCTAACACTTCCGTTAACCTGACTAAGAGCACTCTACCACCATTCTTGTATGCCTCAAGAGGTATTCCGTCTGGTCCTGCTACCCTTCCTCGTTTCAGGCTACCTACCGCTTTCTCAACTTCTCCTAGTTTTGGGGGACCTATCTCTATGCTCCTTTCAGGATCCGACTAGATAGCGGGCAACGCAGTGGTGGCTGGAGGCCAGTTTAACTGCTCCTCGAAGTGTTCACCTCATCGTTCCAGTAGTCTCCCCTGCGAGCGAATCGCAGATCCGTTCTTCCTAGCTATAGCCTCACTAACTGTTGTTGACCTTTTCCCCCCAGTCTCCTTAATAAGTCTAAATAACTGTCTACTATTACCGATCGCCGCTGCCTTTTCCATCTCTTTAGCCTTCGCTGCCCACCACTGTTCACGATCGTTGCGCAGACTTTTTCCCAATCTACTTTTAAGTTGCGCTCGCTCTTCATTGTACTGAGAACCTGCAGGGAGGCGTTCACGTGCATCCATTAGTCTGGAAGAAGCTGCTGATATCCACTTGCTCTTTTTAGCCATTATTTTGGAGTCGGTTACAGTCTTCAGTGCTGCTTTTGCAGCAAACTGAAGATGGCACCAAGCTTCTTCTGGATGAGTGACAGTCTTTTGTTCCGATAACTGCCTAGCCAACTTCTCACTGAACACGGCTTTGGTGTTTTCGTTGTCCAGCAGCACTCGTAGTGGTTTTTTTGCCAAATTTTTTCTACGTCCATTGAGACGCAGGCATATACGTGCTCGGACCAACGCATGATCGCTGTCCAAACACGTACTCCAGAAGGAGCGGCAGTCTTCCACCGATCCTCTCCAGCGATGACTAATAGCAATGTGGTCTATCTGTGTCCATCGCTGAGTCGAGCTCGGTGGACGCCAGGTCAGACAGTGCCTTTCTTTATGTCTGAAATTTGTGCTGGCTAAAAATAGGCGGTTATCTGAGCATAGTTGTAATAGGCGATCACCGTTATCTGTACGTTCAGCTGGGATTCCGAAAGTGCCACCTAAGTGCCTTTCTGCCTCACTCAGTCTACCCACCTGTGCGTTGAGGTCACCTGCAACAACCACTACGTCCGAACGTTTGGCTTTCGAGAGGAGGTTAGACAGTTTATGGTAGAACTCGTCCTTCACTTCATCCGAGCTGCAGTCAGTGGGTGCGTAAGCAGAGATTACAAAGAGACAACGGCGAGTCTCACTATTCCTTTTAGTTCTCACTGTGCCGTTCAGCCTCATAGCGCAGAGGCGACTATCAACTGGGATCCAGTCTAGTAGTGAGTTTTCTGCCCTGGTGCTTAATGCTATACCTACACCTGCAAGACCACGAGAGCTAGCTATCGAATCTCCAGAAACTCGAAGGGTGAATTTTGCAGATTCACCAGATTGGTCAGGAGAGGTCAGGTGAATAACCACACTTGGGTCCTGTATGCGTGTCTCACAAACACAGCACACATCCATGCCCGAGTTGCTAGAGTCTTTGCCAACGAAGCCTGTTGGCCAATTTGACGGAGGGTGCGGACATTGAAGGCTCCAATATGTAATTTGGAGCGTGGTTTAAGGAGACCAGGGATGCTGTTCTGTGGACTCAGATCGTTGTCGAAGGCTGCAGAGGTAGGAGAAATTGAAGATGATGCAGCATCATTAATTGAGAGACGTGAAGGAAGATTAGAAGGTAATGATGGAGGAGGAGGATAGCAGTCAGAAGAAACTTGGGTGCTGACAGAGTTGTGAGGGCGGTTGACACTTCCCGGCTGCCCACACCGTGGAAGGCTATTTCTTCTTAAGGTACCTGAAAGAGATTTGTGTGACCGCAGAGCCCATCGGACATCTGCTTGAGGCCTGTCACACCCAGCCTTTTGAGTATGATTATTTTGAATTTTTGTTTTTTTGGGGCCGGATGGTAGAAAGGAAACGACAAGTGAACCAACACCGCCGGCCCGGCAGACCGTGGGGCGTGGTGGAGTGTGTTATTTTTGGGGCCGACCTTTTTTAACCCCCCCTTCCACTGAGAAGGCAGCATCAGCTTGGCACTGCTGGTCATCCAAGGGAAACACCTTACTGCTGTCACACCCCATCCAGCTAGCAGCAGTACGACTTCGCCCTCAGACCCCCATCATAGTGTAGCAATTTACACTACAACGGTAACTGCTTTTCGTCTAACCACTATCCAACAAACCTTTCTGGTATGGTAGGACCTCGAGGGAACAAGTGTTCCACCAGCACAGCTCGTTGGGTCATTGTGATATGCAAGCCCAACCACCACGTCAGGGTAGCAGCTATAGGTCGGGAGATTGAGTATATTTGGTAGAGATGTGCACGATTGTACAACATAGCTGTAAAATACGGTTACTGAGTTGGGTTACTTAAAAAGATGAAAGGTGTCTGACTGCATATGTCTTCGCAGCACTCTCACCTTTTTACGTATCCGTCTGGTGAGTAATTAATGAAACTACGCTTAGGCTCTCGGATAAGGAAGATAAGTCAGTCAGTGATGCTGTCAAGTTTCATAAAATAAGGTGAAAAGGTTGTTACAGAAAGTGAGTAACTGTTCTGACCAGTCTATGATATTGAGTAGGTGTAGAGTATATTGGTAAAGGAATTTATTTTAACTCGTTATGAAGTTAGTGACCATAGTTGATGTCAGTCGTCTAAGGCAAAGTAGGTTTACCTGTTTAGGATCTTCAAAATGTTGACAATTGCTTGATATAGTCCAAAAAGAACCCACAACAACGTCTCAGAAGCATTCACTTTTTACCTTCCATATTTTAAAAGTCTAATCATTATGTCTAATTTTCTACTGTCCACTTATGTCTTCTAGTTTATATTGATATTTGTTTTCCTCTTTTGTTTTTTTGGTGAGTCTTGATGCACCAAATGATGATAACCCAATGCAGCTGCCCTTTGTCTCAAGTCACCACGTCATACACTGACCACTCCTCCTCCTCTTCCATCCAGTCCCAGGGCTAGCAAACGGTGAACGGTATGGAAGCTGTTAGGACAACGTGCGTTGAACATGTCCAAGCCACTGAAACAGGTGTTTCCAGATGACCACTTATTAAATTAAGATCTCCGTTACGCCTAAAAACACGCTGTCGTACCTGAAAATTACTTACATGATGTTGGCACTGGGTACGAGCCATCCTGCGGAGACAACTATGATGTAGCACTCAGAGTCGTTGCACATCCTCAGCTCGGAAAGGCCAGGTTTCACAAATGTAGAGCAGAAGTGCTCGCACCGAAGCGTTATAAACCCAACCTCTTACGGTCAGACTAACGTCGCGACAGCACCAAAGGTGGCAGAGATTGGCGTATGCCACTCTGGTTTTTGATATACAGTTGAGAATTTCACCGCTTACCTCCACCGGAACTCGCACAGCTACCCATATACACGAACTTTTCGACCACTTCCTAAGGCTCACCACCAAGAGTGAGCACAAGCACCTGTCAGTCTTGCAAAAATACTTTGCAGTTCAATGGTGCAAAGCACATACCATACTTACTTAGACATGATATGTTAGGAATTTTTATGTTCTATTATCTGAACGAGCACTTTAGGCACTTGTTTTGATGTTTACCTATCATAAACGGTTTATTCCGTGTAGTTTGTTTCCTTTTAGTGTAATATATGTACTGTATGGGATCTTATCCACAGGTTCAGCTGGTTCTAGTGCCTCCCACTCATCGGAAACAGATGACAGTGATAATGGTGAAGAGGAAGATAGTCGACCACATTACAAAGGACCTGAACCTCCTCCAAATCGTTATGGAATCCAACCTGGTTATAGATGGGATGGAGTAGATCGTAGTAATGGCTTCGAAAAGAAGATTGTTGAAGATCAAACACGACGTCGTGTAGAACGTGAAATAGCCCAACGATGGGCAATGGAAGATATGTAATAGAAAACCTTATCAATTCCTCTTATTTATCTACTACATGTAAAGACTTTTCTTATTGCGTTATTTACGCGCAAATGTACAAATGTAAATTGATGACTATATTTTCTTCATTCTTTCACTCATGAGTTTTCTTTCTCTTTAATAAGGCTGGAAAAACGTCTGCTGATTGAATCGTAACATGCGTGTTGCGTATATCTACACAAATTGATTGCTATATGGCAACTGAGGAAGACGTTGAGCTCTGAAATACTAATGAAAGTCAGTTGGAACACTTCTCTTTTATCAGGTCTAGGACTCACGTCTATTGGCACTTTTAACTTGAACGATAGCCCTCAGAGTTGTTAGACCAATAAAGTTTTTGACTATTCATCGAAGTGATACAGTTGAAATGTGACCAGGTTGAATTTTCTCATAGAAAAGCGATTAGGAGTTTCTACAGTTATCTCCTAGTGGGAGTGGAGCTGTGGCTCATTGTGCCACGGGCTGTAACTCGGCTCCACCTACTGAAGTTTGGGTAGCTAGGTAGTATCATTAGCCCTCAAGAAGTAGGCGTGACTCATTGGCGACTGCACAAATGTGTATCAAGTTGTTGATTACATTCCAATTTTTCTTCCAGTGGGAAAATCACTCAATATCCAGCTAACGAGCCCCAAACAGAACAAAAAGCACGTTATGGATCTTACTGCTATCTACTAACCATCATTATTTTTAGTAACTAGTGCTTTTAGGAAGGTAACTTAAATAGCTGAGTGGGAGAATATGACCGGTTCCGTAGATCTACCTGGTAATGTGTGTACAGTGTTTCCTAGCTCATAAAGAAATTATTTAGCAAAACTGTAACATAAACATTTTCTGAGTCTCCTTTCCTATTGTGAATAAAGATGAACACTAAGACTTCTGTTTGTAAGCATCATGTGAAGTTGAAAGCCACTCATAGTGATCTTCGCTGTCTAAATGAAAATGATGTAAACTACGTATTGTCACTTTGCTCAGAAGACCAGTGTTTTCATATCTACAAGTTGATAAATGCTTTCTAACTATATCTTTTGTTCAATAGTGTACCGTACTAGTTAACTAAACTCGTATACTACAGATCTTAGTCTGGTTAAGCAGTTAAAAATCAATAGTTTGTGAGAAATTTTAATACGAACTGTTAAAAAAACGTTAAGTCTGATTTTTGTACTGATGTACAGGCAAGGTGATGAGTGGATGCATTCTCGTACACTTGATTTCGCTATGGGTTTTTAGTGATCAGCTCTAAGCTGAATATTTCGTTGCATTCAACAGGGTATGTTATACAAACAAAGATTCAGTATTTTTACTAGATTTATTTGCTGATATAATGATTATTTGAATTGAATTGACTAATGAACTAATCTGTAGGTAGCGGAAATGTTACTACTAAATTTATCATTTAGACATGATCAAAGTTAATTAACACCATATGCATAGTTGAACTCATTTGATCTATTCCATGGGCTTGTATGTATCATTTTACCATCTGGTAAGGTGAACGCTTGCATATACTCTGACTTCTCCATAGGACTCAATCGATTCTGTTTCATGGTGTAAAATCCATCTATTTTAATTTCTGGTTGTGGATTTATTCGATAGCCTGGTGTACATGCACGCAGTTGACCATGATTTGATAGGACTTCCGATACACTGTGACAGGGTCTTGTAAAAGCAGAATGAGTCTCTGATCTGCCTGGATAATCCAGACATATTCCTGATCGTTCCTATTGAAGGGTTGAAAATCAGATAAATATTGTGTTATTATTTGTGCTACTGAAATCATTAAAAGTAGACTCTGGTATTTCAGAAAATAAAATTTATAGTTTGAAGTGATCATAATCGAATACAAAACCTAGGCGAAGTTAATGAAAATAGTCCGTTCAGGTTAATATTTTCTCACCTGCAATAAGATAGGGAAGTGAAAAGTCATAGGTACACTAGTAATCATCATATCAACCGTCTGTCTCTTGTTGAATATTTCAACGGTAATGTGATTGTGAGTACAGTCATCGGAACATGATGCAGTAATGAACTAGATGGCTTGAGAGAGAAATATTCGCTGTTACACCTCATATTGGTTTTTAGGGTGTAACGTTGCTAAGGTTCTCTCATGAGTACGAATTATTCAAAGCTAGTGGAGACAATATTCTGAAGGTGTGTGGATGATACTGGGGATGGAGAGCTATCCTATTTTTGGGAAACCGGCAGCTTCCTCCTGCATCTTCTCTCCAGTTAGTATTCGATTACATTCAATTCAACAATCAAAGTTATCTCAGGTACTCCGATATGACACTTATCCGCTTATTTCAAGTTCATTTAGATTGAAGTGAAGTAACCTATCAGCACAATTGATGTGATGATGAACAACTTGTTCTTGATTTCTTCAAGTAGACTTCGAAGTGACTGCATTGTAAATGCGATCAGGTTACCAGTTGGTTGAAGTGTCCTAACCAATCGACAGACAGTCAATTGATTCATAAATCAGTGCTTCAAATTTGATCAAAAACCTGATATTTTCAACTTTATTCAGCATATTTCATTCTATCTTTGTTCGAAGTTACATTGGTGTTGAATGGGATTTATTCAAATGAAATCATTCAGTTCAGGAAGTCACAACACACTATCAATACCTAGTACCAATTTCAGGACTGATGAATCTTATCCACTAGTGTCAGGTGTAAAACTTGATTGTCTTGCACATATTCTGATCATATTTGTTGTTAACATATAAGCTATTCTTCTTTGTAAACAGACCGGCATATGATTCATAAGAAGTACGTGAGTTAATCAGCCTCAGTTAGAACAGTAACTGTTAGATATTTGAAAGTGATTGATTAGAAAAGATGTGCTTGAGTTTCGTGTTTATTCACTTTCATCAGCAGAATGAATATACAAATCTAAAAGAAGTGGTTGTTCATCAAAGATATGAACTTAAAATCCTGCGATCTCAGTTACTAACACTAAACTATTATAACAGCAAGTCAAGTGTTTAGGGACCCCAAGGGAAACATTAATTGATTAAATTTGGGAGGTTTGTGGGTATTTAGAGATTTTCCGAGTTGGTATTCATTGTACATTGACGTCAGTTGGAGGAAGATTGGAAAACTGGGAGCACCGGACAGCTGTTTCTTCCCAGTATGCGACTTCTCAGCGGTGCACATCCATGACCTCGCCCATCCAGGGATCGAAACAAGGACCTTCAGGTTCCGTCGCCAGTACGTTACCGTTGAGCCACTGGGTCGGGATTCAGTGATCCATATTTCCTACTTCTGTTAGCTCACGATATAACGAGATCACCACACAATGTCATCGTTGAGTATTTATCTTCATGGCGACTAGGTTTGCCCTACCGATCATGACTTCTCATTGAAACTTTGGGAATCATCTATCGAAGCTAGTCACCAATGAGCACTAATTCAATTTAATTTTGGGGGTTCGTTAGGATTTAGTAATTTTTCAAGTTTGTATTCATCATGGACTGACCTCATTTGGTGGAATATTAGAAACCTAGGAGCATTGGACAGTCGTCTCGACCTAGAATGGGACTCTTCAGAAATGCGCACCCACGATCTCACCGGGGATCAAACCCAGGACCTTCAGGTTCCGTGGCCAGCAACCCTCAAATTTAATTGAACTGGTGCTCATCAGTGACTAGCTTCGAGAGGTGATTCCCGAAGTTTTGAATGAGTAGTCATGAGCAGTGGGGCAAACCTGGTAGCCGTGAGGACAAATATTCAACGATGATATTGGGTGGTGGTGGGTCTCACTATGTCTTGAACTCACAAGTTGGAAATATCGACCATTGTATTCCGACCCAGTAGCTGAATGGTAACATGCTGGCTAGGGAACCTGAAGGTCACCGGTTAGATCCCTGGAGAGGCAGGGTTATGGGTGCGCACTGCTGAGGAGTCCCATACAAGTGGGACTGCTCAGCGCTCCCAGCTTTCCAATGTTCCTCCAAATGATGTCAGTTTACGATGAATACCAGCTTGATTAATTGTACTGATTCATTTTCTTATACTTTTTATCTAATTATAACAGCTATGGATTCAATGTTAGAAAAGCGATAATGATGAAGATGAAGTGAATAATCATATGATTGTACTGCTCAATAAATTACCTGAATAGTTGAAGGCCATTCAACATGATTTTTCTTCTGTTCACAATTCGATTGACCAACAGAATCATACTTCATCTCTTCATAGTTAATAATGTTAAATCGAGGAGCTATCTGAGGTCTCTTCTCTTTAATAAACTCAGTTTCATACGCCTAAAGTTACGTTTTAATTTAAAAAGTGGAAAAAAACCATCAGTGAATTTGATCAAACAACTTGATCAGTTTAAATATTAAATTGATTTAACGTATTCAAAATACTCTCTGGAGGTTTCTGGAGATTTATTAATTGACTTTAGGTTGGCACTCATCATAGACTGACATCAGCTGGAGGAAGATTCGAAACCTGACAGCACAGGAAAGTTGTTTCGTCCCACTTGGGACTCTTCAGCAGTGCGCACCGATGACGCCGCCTCTCCAGGGATCGAACCCAGAACCTCCGGGTTCCTTGGCCAGCACATTACCATTGAACCACTGGGTTGGAATCCGATGGTCTATATTTCCAACTTCTGTCAATTCACGATATAGCGTGACCTTCATTCATTGTTGTCATTGAGTTACTGTCCTCATTTTCGACTTGTTTGTCTCTACTCTTCACGACTTCTCATTGGAACTTCAGGAATCACCTATCGAAGCTAGTCATTGGATCCCAACCCATTGACTCAATGGTATCGTGCTGACCACGGAACTTGAAGGCCTTGGATTCGATCCCTGTTGGAACGGGGTCGTGGGTTCGCACTGCTGAGGAGTCTTATATAAGTGAGACGAAACAGCTGTTCAGGGCTCTCATGTTTCCAATGTTCCTCCAACTGATGTCAGTCCATGATGAATTCCAACCTAATATTCAAAGTTCACTATCCATCTTCATCTGTCTATTAGTGCTGATGTGTAGGCGAAAAACAAGTTTTATTAACACTTGTTATGCGCTGTAGGTTATCATGGTTTAATTTGTTCTGTCGTGACTAGTCCAGAAAGCGAATTTCATTCCATTTGATACTGGTCATTTGAATTTATCTGCATCCCAGTCAATGAGAGTGTTCCCACTGGGAATAGAACCATGAGGATTCACCACTACAATACAAACAATGGATAAATCAGTATTTTCCACCATGACACAGGAGCTGTTGACTTACCTTACTCAGGTGATGGCCATTCTTAATGAAAGCTTGTGGGCAGTGGTGGAGCCAAGTTGAAAAGACTGAAGAGAAGAGAGTGAAATGGAGACATGCTAGTGAAGCCGTATGTTCCACTAGGAACCCAATGGACAAATAAGTAATAATTGCTGGATATTCATAATTCTTCAGGATTCAATGATGGTGACTTCACCGTAGGACTTAATTACCTGAGAAAGTTAGGTTGTCACAAACCTGGCTGTTAATGCATCCACCAGATATGTATCTTTCATCAGATTCTGAAATACAAACGTAATCACTAACACAGGAATGTTAAAAATAGTTTTGACACGAAAGTGGAATTTGATACCTTCGACTGATAAGTGTCATGGCAACGTCTCACTGCTACACATTTAACTCATAGCTTATAAGTTTTGCGAACTAGGGTTCACTCGATTAGGTTCTATGTAATCCCTAAAAGGTGCATTTAGCAAGCATATCTTTTTTATTGAAAACTACCTTCTCTAAAACGTATTCTTATACCTTAGCTGTACATTGGCTATTGTTTACAATATCTTCATCTAGATGTATCTATTAGAAGCCTTTTGCTCGTTATTATTTCATTAAACTTTACCATAGATGTGTTACTAGAAGTCACATCTTCTTCCAGTAACTTCTTAGGAATTCAAATTCTTGGTTAAAATCTTTTGACTAACTTAAATAAACTAAACACTGAAAATGTTCCCGTTTGGTGATACTGCTGACAAAAGTAAAGTTCACCAGGTTACAGTTGAAGGTCTAATCTGGATCAATATTTCATATGATAATATTTAGCAAAATGCTACAGCCGGCTAACTATTTCACTTACATGAGAAATCGAATTAATTGGTATCCGATAATGCTAGGAATCTCTACACATTTTGATGCAACTTCGCTATGTTACTATGTAGCTAAGCAACTTTAAAGTTTAAGAAGTCATTTATGTGTAATTTCTAGTAGTACAGGATGTCAGCTGAAGCCATTTAGTTTTATGTAGCTAATGACTGTCATCTGGGTGACCTGAGCAGATTATTGACTCACCAGTTAACAATTTAGAGAGCCCACTTCCATCCGATCTGCTTTTGCAGATTCCTAGCGCTTCTATGCTACATCTTCTCATTTCCTTAGCAATCTGGGCAGCCTTGCTAGCTTCAAACAACATTCAGACAATCCATACCCGTATGCTTACTTTTGGTTTCATGGAGAGAAGAGAAGACATATCAGCCAATTGGCCTCCCGAAGCCTTTCACCAACTGGCATCATTTCGTCTCCCTGATTCTAGAGAAGAATAAGTTTATTTTTATTTTTTTATATTTCATCTGTGCTTTGAAGTTTCTTTAGCGATTGAATTAGTTTTACGGGGTAGGGTTGCTAGCCCCACGCCCAACCTTCTCTTTTTTTCCGGGCTTAGAATCGACTAGAAACTGGTGAACTATTAAACTAGGCGAGGTTTATGTAGCGCATATAAACGATAAATGTTATTCTGATTATGTATACACAAGAAGTAACTTGTGAAAATCACAAGTTTTATGCATGTACGAAGTTAAGCGATGGTATTATTTGATAGCTCAATAATACTACTTGCCTAGCAAGGTTTTTTTTCTGAATGAAACCATAACCGACTGTTCAAAACCTAAGTACTTAAGCAAATGATCGATAGTTACAATTCGTTGGTCTTGAAATGATCACCTAACAACTACCCAAGAAAGAAATCAGTTATTTTTTCTCATTTGCGCACAACTGAACCACACGATTGCTTAGAAATAATTTAATCTGTAGATTTCACTAGCCAGATCATAATCATCTCAACTCCAAACTACCGTTTTAAATCATTTGGATTTCAGCTTATTAGCGGTTAATCAGCAAAAAACAGCTCACACAACTGCACGGTTCACATAAAGAGAATATGTTTAGCGAGTAAAATGAACTGGAACACGTTCAGTTGTATGATTCATTTACAAATTTCTTACACATTTTACAGTTGTTCGGCAGAATATCTTATTTATGGATAGTGGCTAGCAGTGGGACCTTCTGTGGAGTCTAAGGAAAATCCTGTTGAAATCAAAATTGTACCTTTGAAAATCTACTCAACTGTAGGAAATATCAACCTGAATACTGGAAATTTTAAATCGGTTACTCTAGTGAATACAAAACAGTGACTTATAGAAAATAGGAAATGTATTTGGTCAAGAGCTAGTTTTTATGACTGGATCATTATGAATAAATCATATTCTTAGAATATTCGTTCCCTCAGTGAATCCAAACTTTAAAATCCCGGGTCAACTTTCAGACACTCATCTTCCATTAGTCTGCTTCGTCATACTCTGAATCTTTAGCTTTCTTGTCACATGTAATCTAGAATCTGAGGTTTACATTTCGTCTGGGTAAGCAAGGTACAATCATAAATATGTGCTACTGAAGAGCCAGCTAAACGAACGAAACCGTTAGGTAATAATCCCTGACTTAAAATGGCTTTACCAGGACAATATCTTTAGAAACTCATCTATACTGTTTTGAGAATTAAATGGGGTTAAAAGTGTCTTAGTGGATAACACTTCTCAAATGCTCACAACGGAAGAAAATATCCATTTTCAAAGTGTCTATAGAAGATGATTGGAGATTAGTTCCATGAATGATATTTTCTTATGACAACGACAAAGGATGAAACATAGAAAAATATTTATTATGCTACTTTGTACATTACTAGTGAAATATTGTAAACATTCCATTAAGATATTCTTTTGCTCAATATGTTTCATTTCTTCTTCTATCTTGACTTGCTCTTAATGCCACCAAGTTATCTCTTGCATTTCTCTGTGTACAATGTTTACCCATTACTCGTAATTGCCCATGATTTCTGCCGACCTCTCAACATATACTACTTATCTGCATCCTTATTAGTTGCACCCACTACACAGGTTTCAAGGTCGGTCACATGCAGTCGTTTATGTACTATTTGCACATCAAATTACTTCACTGATGTTACTAGATATCAACAAGTTTACGGGTTATTTTTGTAGCAGATATTATCCTACACTTTTCGACAGTTGAAAGGTAGTATCTCTAAATACTCAGTGATTCCTTTGAAGTGAAGACAGGAGTAAGACAGGATTGTCACCTACTATCACCGATCATCTTCCTGATGGTGGTTGACCGCACTGGACTGGATCATGTAACAAACTGTGAGGAGCTGTGAGAAGAGGGGCATGCGCTCGCTGTTTGGCCAATGAAAAGACCCTAGAATATGATCTGCATTTCGCCAACGACGATGATGCATGTCTGATGTCTAATGCCGCACAAACTTGAAGGTCTACAGGCGAAAACCAGCCAGCTGACAGAAGGGGCGAGGCGAGGCAGCGAAGACGGGACTTCAAGTGAATGTACAGAAGACAGAGATGATGAAGATACCCAACCACAACCACCACTACCACAACAGCAATGAAAAGCACTAGTCAACATGAAAGGGAGAAATCTGAAGGAAGCTGTCTCTTTCATCTACCTGGGCAAAGCAGCATCACTTCAACTACAGGCGACACAGGCACAGATGAGGACGTCAAAGCAGCCAGGATCGGAAACACAGAAAGGCAGGCCATCCTGCATTAATCTGAAATCAGTGTTGAGATCTAATGCCTGCACTAAGCATAAAGTGTGAACAACATCCGGATTTTCAACACTAATTCAGTCAAGTCAGTCAGTCAGTGCTTCTATGTGATGGTTGAGAGAGTTGGCGAGTTACGAAAAGCATTTCCAACAAACTACAGACATGCATCATCAACAGCTACCACCTACGCTCACTCGATACTGACACTGTAGATCAGATGGCCAGAATAATAAGAATAAGTAATAAGTAACTGTGGCTAACTGACTGGCTGACAACGAACCAACCAACCAACGAAGAACCGGTCGCCTAACAAATACATAGAAGAAAGTGGAGATGGATTAGATTGGGCATGGACTGAAAAGACCATTCAGGGATATCATGTGCCAGGTCGTCGAGTGGAACCCAGATGGGAAGAGACGAGTTTGGCATCTAAGGTGAGGGTGACATGGAGGAGATGAATGGTGTGTTGAAGAAATGAAAGCTTGTGGGCAGTGGTGGAGACAGATTAAGAGAGAAGACTGAAGAGAAGAGAGTGAAGTGGCGATGTGCAAGTGAAGCCCTATGTCCCACCAGTAACCTAAGGGGGAATGATGATAATAAGTCTCTAAATATGACAGTTATCCTCGAGAAACATGTTACACTAGTTACTCCTCAAAGGTAAGCTTAGCTTCCAGCGGCCTCACTCTTCTTCAAACTATGTTCTCAAAATGTTAGGACCTTATTCAACAATTATTAAACTTAAAATAGTGAATTCTGACCAGTATAACTAAATAGTAGTTGTACATAAGTATCTTTATTGAATAAATAATATTCTTTATGAATAGATTTACTTGTGTATACTTTGTGGGATTGACACAGTTCAAATTATTACGATAACCAAGCAATCTATCAGTTACATTTAATCGATTATTTGTTCTTTGTATACGTTGACAAGTCATATCATAGTATGGTTCCAATTCTTTTTCATATTGAATAAATTTTGTATAAATGTTAAATAGTTCCAATTGAATCTGTCAAGTTAATTAAAACAAAAAAAAATACAATGAGTAACCTTTTTAATGAATGATTAATAAGTTAGTATTATTGCAAAGTCTTACGCAATCAGGGGAACTTGTGAAACTAAAAATGAGTAGTGATTACATCACAGGTAGTCATGATATGAGATGATTGTTGATTAGTGATCAAAAGCTTCTCTGTAAGACCCAATGATGATGACAGTCTGTATCTAAGCAACAAGTTACAAATTCAAGAATTTGGAAAAAATTATATCCTGTGAGGAAAACTAAACACTATATGGTGATGACAATAATAATAAAGCGGGTGATGACATAGGCATTTATGATTATAATAACAATTGAAGTGCGAATGATAACAAATAGATTATGTAATATATGGAATGCTACATAGAGAGTATATAACTCAGAAGGGGGTGAAAAAATTGTTGAAAATGGTAAATCAATTAAGTATTATGTAATGGCATTAGACAAATCGGACAAGATGAAGTCAATGTTTTCTAAAAGGATTAAGACAATTCAGTGAAACAACACCGGAAACTAGTTGAAGTGAAGGCGATTATAATAACAATAATAGTGATAAAGGAAGGATACAAAGGTTAAATTAACAAAGTGGGAGGGGGAGCTAATGGGTTGGGAAAATGTTATGGCCATGATAAAGAAACTGGAAAATTCACAACTTCGTCAAACTATTGATAGCTTTGACTTTTATAGAAGATATATGGACGACACGTTTGTTATTTGCGACAAAAATGTAGACCTCGACGACGTGCTTCGTTCATTCAATGAATGTCATCAAGCCCTCAAGTTTACTATAGAGAAGGAATCAGAATCAACTATTCCTTTTCTTGATGTGCTTCTCACCCGACGTCAGAATGGATACCTTAAAAGATCCATCTACAGAAAACCAACGTGGAACGGACAACTAACTAATTTTTATAGTTGGGTGCTCATCAACAGAAAAAGAAATCTTATTCACTCTCTTTGCTATCGAATAAGAAGTATCTGTAGTGACGATTGTATCGACAAAGAGCTATCTTTCTTAAAAAGCATACTTGTCGAAAACGGTTACCCTAGCCGCTTTATTGATAAAAATATGCGGGAAAGAAACACTAAACCAGTCATCCACTCGGTCTCAAAGAAAAGATTGTTTATGAGCCTAGAGTTTAAAGGAGACCTAGCATCGGATGTACTGAAGAATCGTCTTACCAGATCAATCATTAGGACTTTCTTCTCAGCAAGACTTCAGTTGACTTTTACCAGCCGCAACCTATTCTCCACCTGCACTAAAGACAAGCTTCCTCGTTTGGCCGCCTCTATGTGCATCTACCAGTTCACCTGCTCTTGTGGAGCAACGTACATCAGCCGTAGCCAGAGAATGCTTTCTACACGTATACGAGAACATGTTCCTGCTTGGTTTTATAAAGGTGAAAGAAAGTCTGTTAGAAGTTCGATTCTAGAACATTTGATTGACTTCCATCAACAACAAATCCAAACGATGACTTTAATATTATTTATCAAATTCGCCCAAACCTCCCACGTTCTCTTCGTTTTCAACTCCTTAAAACAGCGGAGGCTTTAGCTGTTCATGAACTAAGACCTGATCTCTGTGTACAAAAGAAGTATGTGCAGTCACTGTCTTTATCATGGCCATAACATTTTCCCAACCCATTAGCTCCCCCTCCCACTTTGTTAATTTAACCTTTGTATCCTTCCTTTATCACTATTATTGTTATTATAATCGCCTTCACTTTAACTAGTTTCCGGTGTTGTTTCACTTAATTGTCTTAATTCTTTTAGAAAACATTGACTTCATCTTGTCCAATTTGTCTAATGCCATTACATAATACTTAATTGATTTACCATTATCAACAATTTTTTCACCCCTTTCTGGGTTATACACCTTCTATGAACTATTCCATATATTACATAATCTATTTGTTATCATTCGCACTTCAATTATTATTATAATCATAAATTCAAGAATTGTTCGAGGGAAAAAAAAGAATATTTTTGAGGTTGGACTGACATCAGTTGGATGAACATTGGAAGCACTGGACAGCTATTTCATCTTACTTGTATATAAGACTCTTCAGAAGTGCCTACCTACAGGATCTGAAGGTCGCGGGTTCGAGGCCTGATGAAGAGTTCCATACAAGTGAAGTGAAACAGCTGTCCAGTGCTCCCATGTTTCCAATGTTCATGCTAATAATGTCAGCCCATGATAAATACAAAATTGAAAAATCTCTAAATCCTTACAAATCCCTAGACTCAAAAACAGAACATGCTTCATCTTCTTCAGGTTCTACTGTTATATCTACATACTGTGCAATTTTCTGTCAACATAAATGAAATTTCTCTTAACAGTTTATTAATAATAAGAATGAAGTGATATCTACAGTATGAAATTAGAAAATTAGGTTCTTTGGGGTAGGATTTGGGTGTGTCTAATTGGCCTAAGTTAGTTGTAGTTGCTATCATTTCTACAGTTTGAAAGATTTGAAGTCTGGTGACTTCTAACAAGTTGATGAGAGGCCGATATATAATAGTAAGCGACTTATACATATCTACTGAATGGTTTGTTTTGAACTTAAGAGATACTAATAGTGTTTATCACACCTTTGTATAACCACACTTCACATTGCCCATTTCGTATAATATTATCATATTTTTCAGGCAAAAATTTTCACTTATAAACAATAAAGATTCAATTGTTCTTACATCTCACCTTTAAACTGATTGATGATAACACACTTTAGTTCAGTTAAACTAAATAAACTGATCAATAACTTGTATCAGACTGAAATTATTGATTTATGATTGGAAATCAATTTATTGTCATATTATATATCAAAGTACTTTTTGATAGACTTAATCAGTTGATCTTGTTCGGAACTTTTTGTTAAATATTCACTGATATTTCATATTTATGACTTAAAAACTAATTGATAACGAACTTATAAATTAATTGTGCGGTAAAGGACAAAGTAGACAACCAATTTTTTTACTACTGTCCTTTTGATCTGCTATGTAGAGTGAAATGTTTCCAAAAACATCTTGTATTGAAGATTAAATAATTCAGGTGTATTGATTGATGTTGTGTAGTCCTGAGTGCAGATCAAATCCTACTACGGGTTTGAATCTCAGGTGGGACATCAGTTCCGTCAAGGTTGCAGATACGCCTTGCTGATGAGTGCTAAAAAGCACGAAACCTAGGTCCAGGGATTCCTGCCGATTGCCTCTAACCAACTAACATCTACTAATGTGCACTGTGATGCTGAGCTTCCTAGCTTGGTTGTCATATTGCAAATATGATCGATAGGATTCGGTCTACACTCAGGACTAGACAACATGAAATTGGTTGCACTCCCGTGACAAATCAATACATGTAAGCCAGTCCTACAGGAGGTCAGTCGCGGCCAGAATAGCTCAGGGGTAAAGTCGTTGACTATATCACTGGGTGTCGCGGATTCGAATCCCAGGTGAGTCATCATTTCCGTCAAGGACGCAGACAAGCCTTGCTGACGAGCGCCAAAAAAGTGCAAAACCTAGGTCCAGGGCTTCCTTCCGATTGTCTCTAACCAACTAGTAATTCAGGTGTGAATCGCATGCAATCCACTGGGGATCTTAGTTTGTATGCCATTCCCCTTGAGAAGGGAGAGCATATATCCAGGTGACAATTTCAATGTTCCATTGACTAGCTACTTGGAAATAATCAGTATTTTTTGTCATTTCATACTGTTCATTCATATTTGTAGGTCGTCGTATACCTTCTTGGCATTATTCATCATGGACTTACATCAATGACAGGACCATTAGAAACCTAATAGCATTAGACAGCTGTTTCGTCCTAGTAGGGGACTCTTCAGCAGTAAGCAGGGATCAACATGATAAGCATCGGTCCTCACGATGACCAGTTTACCACTCAATCTCACGGTTGGAATCGAATCGTTCACACTGTCCTACTTCGGTGAATTCGCGATATACTGTGGTGGTTATTGAGTTTCAGCGGTGAGGAGTTTTCCTCAGATGCTGATTTACGCCATCAAGTAGTTAAATATAGATGAAAGGTAACAATGCAGTTTACTTGTGTTCACAATGAAGGTGGAATGTTCTGGTTAACAAACCTCCTAGTACCAGTTAACAAAATCTGTTGGCAATGATATTGATGATCTCTTTGTGAAACTGTATTTGAGGACGGATTTCAGCGGTTTAATTCTAAGTGGCAATTGAATCTTGTCCCTTCCCGTTTTAGTCTGCTTAAGCTACAATTGTGATCGATGGTTGTTTTTTCAGTCGGGAGTAACTATGACTTCCCTGAACTTTCCCTTTTTCAACACTTTTCTACTCTCCCATCTGAACGCTGAGGTTCCATAGCTTAATGAACACTCAACTAAGACTATATCCTGCCAATCTTTTAGTCTTAGAAAATGACGATTCACAGTCGACCTTATCTGGAACCAGTGAAATAAATAATTTTTCAATTACGATTGTAAACTATGACTTCAACGATTCAGTTTATCATTCTAAATTTGTGATACAAGTTGCGCTCACAAATCATAGGATGCTACTTTCAATACGACAAGAAGATGATGACTAGTTTTCAGGTACATGGACCGGATAATTCTGCATCTCAATTAGATTAAAACGTATTCGCTGTAAAGTCAGCCTCGATATAGCTAACAACAGTCGTAAGTACTAGGCTGCATTCAAAATAGTTCTAGTCAATATTCAGGAGTATAGTATTGCCTTAATCACCATCTAGTGATCGGTTAATAAGTTTCGATGTTCAGTTTACGGTCAAATATTCACTGCATTTCTATGTTTATTTTGACAGTTGTTTGTTTCATAAAGAAGAAATTGATAGTTGTTTGATTTTTTCCAAGCTTTGACATCAGACTCGGCGAAATCATCAGCATTTTCTTCATCCTCTACTATAAATTGTTGTATACGTAGGCAAAAGGAATAAGAGCCACAACCAATCAATTTTCAGTGTC